TCTCAGGGCGCGCATGAGTGAGAACAAAGTGCGCGGTAAAGGCTCGTGGTGGTTTGTGAGGACAGTACTAGAAGTCCGGAGTAACTACCTCGGGTCCTGCGGGGCCGGGGTGTTACATTTCCACTAATGTATTAAACCCAATACATTTAGTAGGGATCAAAAGGTACTCTATTATATTCATCCACACTTAGGACTAGATAACACTGTCCTTCTAAGTGTTTACAACAATTTGTAAAATAACAAAAATTCTAGCCTCCAACTAAGAACTCAACTTCCTGAATATGGCAATGAGAGTTCTATCTTGGGAGTTTAGTGAAGCATGAGTCTAAGCAGAGAGCTAAGCTAAACGAGCACTTCATCTTTTGCTAAATATCTCTTTGAATGCTCAGTATGATTTCTCTGCTTAGAAGACTCTTAAAAGCTTGATTTTCAACTCATGCTTATGCCTGTATTTATAGGCATCTCCGTTTGATTAATCTCCTCTGTTGGTTGAAAGGTTTTAATCTTTGACGTCGAAAGTATTGTACTTTCGTCTTGCTGTGTTAGAGCAGTTTATCTTCTCAGAGCTGCAATAGGATCCATTTGCAAGGTTTATCTTCACAATATGCGAACCCGTACCTTAGGCCTTCATGTACTATTCTCTTTTTGGCTTTGTGTGCAACTATGCGTGTGTAGTGTCACTGGACAGGCGGACGTTGGTCACTAGACGGGCGGCCGTTGTTCACGGGATGAGTGAGCGTTGGTCACTAAATGGATGGATATTGATCACTGAGCCGGAGTCACCGTGTCAACTTGTCACTGTGATGAAGTAAATGTAACTGAATGGGTCGGGTAATTGTAACTTAACGGGTAAGGTAACTGGTAACTGGACGAATAAGATAACTGTAACCGGACGAGTCTGATAATTGTAACTGAACGGGTCAGGTAACTGTAACTGGACGGGTCGGGTAACTGAACCGGCGGGATAACTATAATTGGGCGAGTCGGGTAACTGTAACTGGACGCATCGAGAATTTGTAACTAGACGGGTCGGGTAACTACAACTGGACGGGTCGGATAATTGTAATTGATCGGATCGGATAACTGTAACTAAAGTGTCGGGTAATTATAACTGGTTGACTAATTATAATTGACGACGGATAACTATAACATGTGTCGGGTAACTATAACTAGACGGGCGGATATCTATAAGTACTTGGACGTATAACCGGATAACCATAATTCCGAACATAAAAACTCATAAAACTTTTTTCATCTTGAAAATGGCTGTAAAATTTTGAGGAGCTGGGAAATGGCAATGGGAATATGTATACATAGGGGTGGGATCGGTCCGGTCTGGGTCGGGTTTTTGCTAAACTCGGAAATTACCCGGAAGGTCTCGGGTTATGAAAATTAGGGACCGGAACAAAGCCCATTATATTCGGTCCGAGTCGGGTTTTTGGTAGCCCGCGGGTGTGATGATTGTGTGTGTAGATCGAATGAGGTAAATGTAAGATTTACTTCAGTTATTTTTATTATAAGTACTTATTATAACTTGTTAATGTTTGTTAACTGTTTAAATTTGTTTTATTTGAGATTTCAGGAGAAGTACTCAAATTTCATAATCAAATTTGAGTTAACAAAGAGTATGTTTTTCATTATTATGTTGATATATATGTGTATGTCTTGACTAGTTGGCTTAAAAATCCAGAATTTTATATACTGGGAGGGAAGGAAGGAAATATGCTGATAGGGGAAAAGGATCCGGGAAGGGAAGAGAAGAATGAAGGGGATCTGGAAACCAAAGGGGAGGAAAGGAACTGGGAGATGAAGAACAACAGAAGTAAGTATACACTGTATGCTGTATTAGTTAATGTTTTTTTCTTTACTAAATTAAACATAGAAATAAATAATGTTTCAATGTTATCTTCAGAACGGCAGAACAAAGTATACACGATATGATCAATCTTCCTCGGAAATCCAGTCCTTATATCTTTATTGTTCTCTGCATATCCAGCAATAACAAAACGACCCCATCTATTATTGTTAGACTGTCTAGGCAGAGGAGCGGAGAACAAAACCCTTCTGGTTGCTCGTTTTGCGATAAACCGTTCCTCTTATGGGCGTTCTGGTGACCCTTAAGAGCCTGTGAGCTGCAGAATTTTCGGTGGCAGAAATTGCACGTATAAGCTCTTGAAGAGGCTGACCCTTCTGTTTGGGTGTCTGCAACTTTTCCTTCATAATGGCTGGCTGTAGGCTTGAAGCTGAGAGATAGATCAAGTGAAACTGGCTCTGAACTTTGCTGGTCATGATGAGATGATGTGGGGTTTGGCAAGAGTTGAGAGAATATGCCATGGATGGATTTGTTAGATGATATTGTGACAGAATTGCTCATGTTAGCTTACTGTAAACGAAAGTGAGAAGAGTTTTACCTTGGTTTCGTGGTGTTCTAATAACTTGCACTCTCATTCTGCAAGTGACAGAGAAGTTTTACCTGGATTTGTATAGCCAGAAATCCAGAATAATGGATGTGGATTTGTATTTTATGATTCTTATAAATGTTAATAAAGCTTGTAGTTAGTATTTGATTGGAAAACCACAATAGTTATATTTTTTTTTTGGAAAATGAAGCACTTTTAGCGTCGACATGTTGAGGCTAAAGGTTCTTTTTATTTTTCGCACCCAGTACCTTTTTGCGTCGACAAAGTGGACGCAAATAATAGATTTTATTTGCGTCGACAAAAAGTGGACGCAAATAAACTTTTTGCGTCGAGCCTTTAGCGTCAACACATTAGCGTCCACATGTGGACGCAAATAAACTTTTTGCGTCGATTTTGGACCTTTTGCGTCGACTTTTTGTCGACGCAAAAAACGCTTTTTCTTGTAGTGCCGGGTTCGGGTTGGAGCGGTTAAAGCCCAGACGTGAAATATGTCATTGTTCTTTTATATTTTAACACTTATTTCAAATAAAATTAATCAAAAATACAAACTGCAAATAATAACACAAATATTAGTCTCCAAAATCACCAACAATTCAAATTTGAATAAGATAATTATCTTAATATTTTATGTAAGATGTATATATATAAATAATATAGGTTTCTTAAAAATATTACGAAAATAAATTTTATAAAAAAAGTTACTAGAGTTGCTATATTATAAATATATTCTCATGGTCATCATTACGCTAAACAAATTCAACATATTTGTAGTCACTAAAAGTTACTAAATCTTGTTTATCCACCGTGATTATAATCATATATTAGGAAATATTTTATTTATATTCAGATACTATATTAATTTTATATTAAAACTAATTGTTTCGGGTTTTTTTCGGTCCGGGCCGGGTTATAGATTTTAAGGCCCGTTAATGAGCCCGGAATTTTCAGTTCGGTCCGGGTTTTTTTTAATTCGGGCCGGTTAAAAAGAAAAAACCCGGACCGGGATCATAATTCGGGTCGGTAAAGGGTCGGTTTTTGGGTTTTGGTTCGGTTTTTTCCCGTCCCTATGTATACATTATGATTTTACACGTAGTACAGACGTACTCCTGTAGCAGTACTCCGTAGTACGGAGTATTTAGTTAGTTATTACTCGTATTGTAGATAGAGTACTCCGTATTAAGTGGGGAGGGTATTTTTGATAATTTGATCCTATAACTTACTAAATGGTAACACGGTAATCTCTTTTATGGAAGAATTAGGGAAAAGTTTTATATTTGTCCAATCTCTTATAATTAGTAATAGTAGTGACCTAACCCCTAGTATTAATTTGTCACTTTTGAGTAGTATACTCTTTTCCTCTTAGTACATCAATCAACTTCTGATCTTTGTAACAAAGAACAGAAGTACGAATCAATGATGAGTTTAGTATAGTGGTATCATCAAAATCTACTAAAATTGGGTAGTAACAGCAGGTCATATCAATTTGATTAAAATTCCATCGGAATTTAATCCTGCTGACATGGGGACTAAATGTCTCTCTGTTGAAAAGTTGTTGTTGTGCAAACGCACGTTAAACATTGATTGCGGATAAGTTCTCGGGTGATCTTACCCCTTTTTGCCTGAATGTGTCTTTGAGATCATTCGGGCAATCCAGCGATCGCGATGATGAGTCTCAAATTGTTTTAGAACGTTGTGCTCTACACGACTAATTAAGGTCTAATAAGGTGGAGAGTTTGTTCGTATTGGCCTACTATTTCCCCAAGCCCATTTCAACCATCTTCATACCCAGCCCATTGGTTCTATTCTTTCCGGGATCGGCATTCTCCCTTTGCGATTAATACTTCCGCCTTCCCTTGCTTGGTTCATCGACAGATCCCCTTGTATGTGTTTGCACAATCTCTTTGTATGGTAACTTCCATCCATTCTCTATTGATTCACCTATTAATATCGATCCTCTCTGCCGATGGGAAGGCGGGCCGAAACCTCTCTTCATTTGAAATATGACCTTCGCCTCTGTGAGGTTGTTCACCGGACGAATTGGCCGGAAATAGGTTCGTTGGTTGTTGCCCAATTCCTCCCTTGAGATCCTAGTGGTGGATTTCATCCTTTGTGGATGTTAACCATGGAGACATGAGCTGGAAAGGAGTCATAACATGTTGTATACCAAAAGACACCTCATAAAAGAGAGGTTGTGATCTTTTCTCCAAAAAGAATAGATATATCTATTATGCCAAAAGTTTTTCCAAAAAATAAAGGAACAAAAATATAAATCAATTTCTAGACAGAAAGATCAAAACCCGAACCTCAAATCCCATGCACCCGGCCGACTAGATAGATGCGGCCTTGCGCGCATGTGAGATTTAATTCCACGCTTATCTTTCATGAGGAAAATTTATCATTCATTTCAAACTAATTTTCTACAAGTAATATATGCAAGTGTTCATCTCAAGGCACGAATTATAATATGTTAAGACATAGTCCTATTAAAATAGAGATGTGAGTCCCTTATTACATATTTTTAAATCCAAAATGACTATATTATTAAATTGTAAAATCGTTTTTCAACTATATATATACACCAACAAATGATGTAAATATACGCTTTAACATTTATGTCCTCAATTTCTTTATATACAAACATGTCAAACATACGACAAACAGAATAAGTCCAATATACTCACAACAACCCGCAATAATAATACGCCAAGATATGTCTTGGACTTTGAAAATCAAACACACAATTAACACAACGGTAGGAGATATTAAATAACAAAACAATAATATTGTCGGTAAATTTCGAGTGGCAATCATCCTTTCGCTTGTTACGTCATCATCCTAAAATAAAATTGAAATAAATTCTTACAAACCGTTCTTAAATATTAATAATCTAGCCATACATACTCATATATTGCCATAAAATAAAAAACATAAAAGATAAGAGCCACAGAAAAGCTCCAAACGGTAGGGGTGTGTTCGGAGAAATATTTTGCTATTGCAGTCGTAAACAAGAACAATAAAGCAAAGAATAAATGAAGAGTAAATATATAAAGTCTTCTAGCATTCCGCAATCGTATGGTTGAATCAATTTCATCATCCTAAAATTAAGGTAGAATGTTACTATGTGTAAATGAAATAAAACCTTAAAAAGATTTAACCAACTCGATCTCTATTTAAGATGCAAAAAAAATGTAGGCACGTAAAAAATTACAACGTGATACTTAATTATTTAACGTAAACTATATGACAAATTTTAAAAACATTCCCCACTATATCACGTCAAGTATTTTACATCAGGAAACAATGATAAAATACTTTGCATATTATTTATATAGCACTATAACGGCTTTACGTGTAATTTACACATAACTAAACAATATAAACTATTTTACATATAAAATACAGTTTCCCTAAATTTTAGTGACAATCATTTCGTATGAAAATATTTAACGTGTAAACTAGTAAATGAACTCTCAATTTAGACTTGTTAATTATGCATTTTCATCAACATTTCAAAGAAAAGCACAGAACATACGGTTACCCGAGTTAGTGGGGTTGTCTCCCTCAGTGTGTCCTCGATTTCTAGCGCCGCAGGTGGTCTTGGAGGCAGCTCACCTGCCTAGAGTTGAATTAGGCAAAACTTACTACCACAATTAAGAGACTGTTTGCAACCGATTAAAAAAAACATTTCTCAACTTTTGGCTTAAAAAATTACTTATTTTCCAAAACTACTGTTAAGATACGGGGTTTGATCCTAAAAGATCAACCTGATAAGAGGAGTAGTCTATGTATTAATATAACACTTTGTTCATCCAAATATTTTTCCGGTGTGGAACATTAATAACTATCATTTTTTACTTTTTTCGGCTTGCGTGTGAAAATTGCTTTTCTCTTTTCTATTATACAAAAAGCACTTATTTTACCAAACACTATCAACTTTTACTTTTCAAAATCACTTTTTTCTCAAACATTATCAATTTTTACTACTAATCACTTTTTTCTAATCTCCAAAATTGCCTTTTTTAAGCAGAAGCAATTGCAAACACTCCCTAAGTCGTGTTATCGGTTGTGTATATGTACTCGTATTAATTTATTTGAATTAAGAATGAAATAAAGTTACAAATACGAGAGTATGTATTCATATATAAAATGCAATTCGTACAGTGGTATTTTTATTATTTCAGTATTATTTTATCAAAAAAAATCCCACTAATATTACTTTTAAAACATTGGTGACAAAAATGTGACTTAATAATTTTTAGTTATTATAATTGTGTTCAAATTTACTATGATATAATGACTATGATAAAAAAAAAACTTTGAAAGCAATTATAATCCCTAAAAATTAGTAAGTCATATTTTTTGTTCATGATTTTTTTCTTAATAATATTTTAGGAAAAAAGCCTGGTGCATGAAAATATAAGAGATTGCCACTATTAAGATTTGAACTCTTAACTTTTCGATCACACAGGAACATCTTAACCAGTGAGCCAAAATTCCCTTTGTTTACCTTTATATACATAATATAATGGTGATATAAATTTAAACGTTAAGACTTTTTAATTATACGTACAGTATATTTTTTGGTGATCTCCATCACCTTTCTGAAATTTAAATTCGAAAATTTTCTCAGAGTAAAAAAAATTCAAAATTTTAAAATAAAATCGAGTAATATGTTTTAATTCCCTACATATGAGTAATTATTGCTATGGTTGAACATCACTGGTTTTGAAGACAATATTTTTTAAGTTTAACCGTAATTATTCTTATTGAGAGATTAAAAATACATAGTAGCCATATATTGAAATTCTAAAACATCTATATTCTCCTTTAGGAAGATTTCTTAATTTATATTTGTCCAGTAAAATGATTTTTTATGAATTTTCATCAACAATTAAAAAAAGTATAATCCATATGTTTACCAAATGTAAAGTCTGTTTGCAACAGTTTCTGCTTTTAAAAAAGTGCTTTTTTAATGAAATGGGGAGAAATGATTAAATAAAAGTTGATAGTGTTTGAGAAAAAAGTGATTTTGAAAAGTAAAAGTGGGTAGTGTTTGGTAAAATAAGTGCTTTTTGTGTAATAGAAAAAGTAAAATCACTTTTGACGCGGAAGCTGAGAAAAATAAAAGTTGTAGTGTTTGAGAAAATAAGTGCTTTTTTAAAGCCAAAAGCTGAGAAGTGCTTTTATAAAAGGAGTTGCAAACCAACTCGTAGTTGAATTGCTTCCACCGTTGCTTCTTCACTCCCTTGTAGGCCTGTCAATGGGTCGGTCCGGGCCGGAACGTAGTGTTCCAGACCCAGACCCGCTAAGTTAATAATGGATTCAGACCCGACCCGTTTACCCGGTGGGTCTGAAAATTTGGACCCAGACCCGTACCCAACGGGTCTCGGAACCAGGTCGGGTAGACCCGTCAAGTATGATACCGTTATAAATTTTTTGAAAATAACAAGACCTCTATATGAAATATAAAGAAAAGTGCGTAAACTAAAAAGCAAAATATATCTTCACTTATTCAAAAAACAATCAAGGTTTCTCATATTATTACTTTTATCCAATAAAGTATTGGTTCTTGCGTATAACTCCACACTCTGTGTCGCTTTTTCTCGTACATAGAGCTCGTAGAATAAACTTCAAATTAAGTCATAAAAGATGTCTTGGACTATTGAGAATATAAAAACATAGTGTATGATAATGATATAATAATATTAATAATTATTATTATTATAATAATAATTATTATTATAATAATGAATATTGTGTGTTGCTAACCAAGCCCAATACACATTTATCATAATGAGAATAAACGGCCAAAACGGGTATTAATTTAATGCTATCACACTATCTCGATCAGTATCACTTATATAATGGGTATGTATTAGTGTGTGTATTTTCGATTGAAGAATTACAACTAATAATTTTATGTATTATTATGTATATATGTGTGTGTATACATTAGTTTGTAATTTTTTACTTGAAGTGTTATAAATAACCACTTTATGTATTACTGTGTTGGTATACAAATAAGAAATTTTAAACGGGTCCGGATCCTTAACGAGTCAGAATCATATGTACCATACCCGCCCCGTTTATTAAATATACTAACGGGTCTGGATCCGGGTCCGGATCCGGATAAACGGAATAAAATATAGACACATACCCGTTAAAAATAACCGGGTCCGGGTCGGGTCCGGGTGTAAACCCGACCCATTGACAGGCCTACTCCCTTGTACCGCAGGCTTCGTTGAAGGCAACTCATCACCCTAAAAATGTAAAGATTGCTTCCCAAACATACCGATAATAAGAATAAAAAATTTAAAATATTCTTACCTCTCTCCCAATTGAATTGAAAATTTTGATCGACACAAGAATTAAGAAAACATACAACATTTACCACTTTGCCCTTTTCCTAATAAATAAGATAACAAATCTCAAAAGTGAAAAGTAATACGTATTCAAAAGAAAGTAGATGCAGTTCAACGCCTAATTTAAGTGCTTTTGGCTTTTTTAAGAAAAAAACACTTATTTTCCCAAACAAAGCCTTAGATAGCCACGTGGGTAGCATTAGAAATGCTTGGATGTATGTGTATTGTGTACAATCTGTAACTCGTATGGATGAGAGCTTATTGAGCGGCACATATGTAGGTGTTTTCCGACAGCCGACAGGCTAATGTCTTCATCACCGGTTCGGCTATAGATTTGGGGTAAGACAACGGGAAGCTTGGAGGCCTCCGTTCCAAATGTAAAATTGGAGTCCCACTTTCATATAAAAAATTAAAAAAAACTCAATTCAAATACTTATACTTAAATCAATTGAATACTTATTTAACAATGTAATAATTTTTTTTATCTAAAACATACTTAATTTTTTATTTAAAGTAACACACCTCATTATTGAAGCAATTTGAGTAAATATGAACTAAATGACCAATAAAAAATGACGAATCTATATTTTTCTTTCGTACTAATTGTATGTTACTGATTATTATTAATATATAATATATAATACTAATAAATTTTTAAAATTCGGGGCCCCATAAATCTGGGGGCATGTTCCGGAGAACCTAATTAACCCCCTAAAAAACGGCCCTGAGCGATGGGTTTTGTTTCAAAACACACGTCTGAGCATCACCATGCAGGCAGGCAACACGACCGACAGCCTACCAACCAGGCGATTCCGGTGTAGAACAAGGAACTATGAAGAGATTCGGAGCAATTCCGTGGAGAATGGTGACTACTCTTCCGGCGTGGCGTTCCCAGAGGCACAAAGCAACTACACACACGGCAGAATTTACTTTCCAACTTTGAGCAAATGCCGAGAAGGCGCGACTGCGAGAGATGCAAATGCAGAACAGGGCGCAGAGAAGAAGACAATTCAATCGACCTTACAAGTTACGAGGTGGATAAACAGATGAACTTACCCAGAAGACGGGGAAACAAGTGAGTGAACTCATAGAAGCTAGGTATGAACGAGAGAGAAATACACAAATAGGGCTAAAACAGGGGAAGTGAATAGGACCCTACATTTTTTTAATTCCCATGCATAGGACTAATTTTATAAGGATGACACCCCATCCCTGAGGGCCCCTCCAACGATGGGAGGATGTAAATTGGACTATAATCACAATCTGACAGATAAAGAGTGGGGCTCCGTCCCCGGTATTTGTTGAGGCCCTATGCATTTTTAGCATAGTAACCTCTCATCGCAGTTGACGGGATTGGAACCCGGGACCTAACCCTTATGACACTCTCTCGCTACCAATTGAGTTACACCCACCGGTAAAAATTTACCTCGTGAAAGAGAAAAGGAGATCCAGGATTCGAACCCTAAAACCTGGGGATAAGCTACCACACACACGGATCACTTCCACCACTGGGCCAATTGTTATTTTTACTAATTTTATGTTAAGGGACAAAATACCCTTCCTTTATCCATGAAAAAGAGGCGCTAGATACTTTTGTAGGTCAACCACGGAAAAGATGCGCCAGATCCCAGAGGAAATCGAATCACCTTAAGTAGGCCTCCTAACTGCAACTAAGTTTACCGACATTCATCGCCGCCAGAGAGTTCGTCGCCCGATAGTGCTTGTCATCACCGAAGCCCTTCTGGTTCGAATTACAGCGACTCCTCCCCTATTCCCATGAAATCGAGTTCAATATTCTCCCTCGGAATCTTGGATGATCCGAAATTTCTAATAAGCCCCTTCCTCCCAATTACTAGCTGGAGTTCATTTGAAAAGATGTGTGAGCACATACTAATCAGAATAAGCAATATTCACTAGAAAATTAGGCGACACTGGCGGTAAATTTAGACCGCCGCCGTCAGATTCTATTTGACTGGCCATATCGTATCATTTTGTGGACTGATTGTTCTGTCCATCCATCATATTACAGACGGACCTTCAATTCAAGCATTTCTTTATGAATACTTTGATGTTCGGCTAAATTAATTGAGAGCTTGGAAATTTATGTTATCAAAGTGTCGAGGATTTAAATAAACTACAAAAAAAATAGAGAAAAAATAATCTTACTGTGGAATCAATCGAGCACTTCATTGAATGTGGATATCCTATTACTTCATACTTCATTGAATGAAAAAACAACTCTACTTCATAAATG